GTTCTACGGCCCTTTGGAAGAAAGATAGGAAAAGGTTTCAGTGGCTGCAAAGCACAAACAGGGCATTTGGGACCATCGTAAGCAGGCTGCTGACTGACTTTTACAAGGATTTGATGGTTAATCAATTTCATTACCAGATGCTTCCAGACACATTTCAGGTGGTCTCCTTGGCTCAGCCTGCCCCACCCTTTCAAAAGACTGCTTAGTAACCTATTATAAACATGCTAGGTCTACATGTCCGAAATGACCCAAATATTCCAAGCACCTCCCTCATCCATAAATACTTCTTGTAAATCTTTTTTGCTTTAGTCATACAGATCAGAATTGCATGTTATTTCCAACCTATGTCCTGTGACAATGAGGTCAGAATGATGTAGCATTTAGCTCCCTTCAGTCACTTTTTGTTGATGATCAACAAAAATAATATCAGTAATTCTCCTGTGCTTTGCCTCCTTGACCCCACCAAACTAACAGCAATATGGCGCTTACCATCAGAGGACCTACCACCAGGACGAGGAAAGACAATATGAACCCAATGATGGAAACACCAGCCGGTGTTAATGCCCCAGTGCGGCCTCTACTGCCACTGCTTTAGATCTCTCAATGTAAGATAGTCCATCTTTTGTCTGTCACCAAAATTTATAGGGTCTGAAAACTCTAAAGGAGACATGACATAAAAGAAGTTATTCTCACCAAGTCTAAGAAAGAGACCGTATAGAATATTCAAGGGATTAGTGGGAAATATTTCCCTAACAAGCTGTAAATCTGTACCTAATTTCGGGATTTCTATTATCTAACTCATAAAACACTGAAATGGCTATAACAAGAAAACTCAATTTGCTGAAGAAATAGCACACGTTTACATTTTAGCACATTTTTATTTACCTTTATAATCTCCCCCCAGCCGTGCCAGTGTCAAATAGAGTATGAGGTAATGTTTGCACCTAGTCAACAGTCTTCAATTCCAGACATCTGTAATAAAAAATTTTAAGGCCAAATACTGGTACTGCATACACACCTGGAGATTGAAGTAAGTTACTGTGCCGTGGTAATACACACTCTCGGGTAGGGTTTGGAGCTTGGGCAAAGGGTGAGAGCAGACCTGAAAACACAAAGCTCCAAGGGCAGAAGGAGCAGGATTTCAAACGGCTCTCTTCAGCTAACCTCTTTAAAACCAACAAGGTCTTGACTTGGGCATACATCATTGTTTTGACAAAAGGAATAATGGAAAAGCTTAAGAAACATATTTGTACAATGATAATGAATGCAAGATCACATTGCTTTTCTTAAAAATTAAGATACTTGGGCCTCCCCAGTGGCGCAGTGGTTGAGCGCTGGGCTGCGAAGCTGTCCGCAGCCTCTGCAGTGCCGGTTCGATCCCCGGCCACCGGGCGAGGATCCCACATGGCGCGCAGACCTCTCCTGCCGCACCCGCTGCTCCCCTCAGCAGTGTACTTTGGTCCTTCTGCTTGCTCTGCTCCCCGCTCTGGTTCTGGTGAATTCTCTCACCATCCTGTGCTTCTGACTGTACCCACTGCTTGTATAAATAAAAAAATAAATCTTTAAAAAAAATTTAAAAAAAAATTGAGATATTTAAAAAATGGAGATACTCTTGGTTCACAACACTATAAATGTATATACCACACTGAACCCACCATCAAAGTTCTAGTAGCATTCACCACAATCAAATTGAGCCCCTCCATCCATCCTTCCTACCCCTCCATCCTCTTCCCCTCTAGTAACCATCATTTTGTTGTTAGAGTCTAAGCATTTTTCTTGTCAAGTTCTATTTTCATGTTTCTGAAGAATATGAAAACATTAATTTGAAAAGATATATGCACCTCTACCATCATTGTAGCACTGTTCACAATAGCCAAGACATGAAAACAACCTAAATGCCACTGGCAAATACCTGGGTGAAGATAATATGATATATAAACTCAATGGAATACTATTCAGCTATAAAAATAAAGAAGAAATGGTCCCATTTGTGCAACATGGATGGAAATTAAGGAGATTATGCTAAGTGAAATAATCATATAGAGAAAAATAAATACGAGATGATTTCGCTCATGTGGAATATAAAAAAGGCAATTGAGTAAACAAAACAACAAAAAAACCCTCAGTCATTCTTGGGTTTTGTGTTTATTCACATTGAGTTTCCCACTTCTACCTTTTTTATCAGGGTACCTAATCAGAACTCTCTCTTTAGGGTATCTCCCCCAAAATGCCTGGACTTCATCACAGGGACAACTGGACAGCATGGATGGGTTAGCCTTTCCATGGACAATGAAATGAGCAGGATGCAGTCCCTATAGTCTAGAGTCACTGCAGTTTGACAGTTACAGAAATGCAGGCCCTCTAACAACCAATTTACTTCAGTTAGGAGTCATAAGAGAATATGGGACTAGCATTTTAATATTACTTAAACTATGGCACTGAAATCTTTTCACTCCTGAACTCAAAGCCTTCTCGAAACACCCAAAGATCAAATAAAAGTACGTGAAAATAACTTTTTTGCTGACTCAGTGCTTTCCTATACACTTTGAATATTCCCTCATCTGTAGAAGAATATCAGGCTGATGAGTAAAAACATGTATTATCTTGCCCATTCACTGTTATGTAGACCAGTGTCAGAGGACTATTAGAACAAGAGTCCTATGACTGGAGTCAGGTATATCACTACCAAAGCACTTCAGACTCTCAGGTATGCTTCTTCTTGCATAAAATGAAGAGGTTCTTTGCACTTTATTCTAACAAAAACTCCAGGAGCTTCTTATTAAAGAAATCATCAGACATATCTCAGAATCTCCCTAAGACTCATTTTGCTCACTTATAAAATGAAAACACTGAATTATATGATCTCTATCCTGCTATTTAGGGATTGTAGGATTCTGTGTACAAGTAAGCAAATTATGCAAAGCTACTCACTCAGAGGAAAAATTGTATCCACTAAATTACATCCACTCAAATTCAATAAGGTAAAATGTTTCTGCATTCAATCAATCCATTTCCTCCTTATATACTTCAAACTAATTCTTTCTTTATATCTTAGCCCAAATACCCCAATACTCACAACTATAAAGTGTTTTCCAAGATTTTATTTTCCCTGTGATTAAATCCTCCCACTTAAACTTTATAATATATGCTGGAAGAGAAACTGTTGAAACTATTTTAAATGTTCTTGCTGGTTATCTTTTCAAAGGAAGTTTTAATGTTAGGAAAATATATCACAGTCATTAAAAACATGCAAGAAGTTTTTGTAGTAAACAGTGTTATTACTTCATTTAGCCAACGTATATTAAATATCAGCTACTCAGAAAAAAAAAAAAAAGACGTCAGAGTTAAGTCTCAATCAAGAACTGGAAAATTAAGTTAAATTAAAAGGCTTACACAACTAAAAGAGTATAAAGGAAACAGGAAGACCTAAATTCCACTATCTCAAGTAGGGGAAAAAAAATTACATATATATATATATATATATAATCTCCCCACTGAACTTTTCCTGTGAGTTTGTTTCCATTCTAGCTACTTTTACAAAATTATCCTCTTACAAAAAATGGTTTATGTTAAGTATCATTACCTATTATCTATACTTTATAAAAATGAGAAAATTGAGAACATAAGTGACAAAGGTAGATGGGGTAGAGCTAAAATTTGAATCCAGACCTCCAAACTCTTGCCACTAAGCATAGCCAATATCAGAACTAGAGTACAATCACCTCTCATTTCCAAAGGAGGTAAAGGTTTAAATTACCTGAAAATGTCTAACTGCCATCAAAAGAAAAGTATTTCTCTGAATCTCTCAGCCTAGGGATCATCAGGAGTAAAATTTGATAAAAGGTCCCCAAATTCAGAACTCATAGAGCAGCTCCCACCTCTAGAAATGAATCCTCTGGCATAAGTACCAAAATGTCAGGAAAAAAATCAAGTATGTTCCACATATTTATGTTCATAATAGAAAGTCTGAAAATAGCTTATAAGCTGGTATGCTGCACAAATAAATTACAAGACCCTGTAATGTAATCCAATGCAACACTTGTAGTTAAAATTTGTAAGAACAATTGTCCAATAGAGACTATCAAAGGAATAGATTATAAAATGGCAAATGTAATGTCATCCCATTAGTTAATCAAATATTATGTTAACAGAGAGATAAAGATACATACATAGAACATTTAAATCCATTAGCCAGCCATCCAATCATTCTAGAGATATATAAAATTGCTGACAACTGCAATAAGCATACTATGATTATGGGTTTCTTTTCATTCCTTATATCTTTGTGGACTCTGAGTTATGTGTTATATCTACAAACTGAAAGGAAAATATCACATAAAAGAATATTTGTGTTCATAAACACAAATCCTAGAGAATGGTTCATAAACACAAAAGACCACATAGGACCACTTTGAAAATAATACTCAATTAAATAAAATTAAAAATAAAAAATTTTGGTATTCCTTGAGCCCTTAAACTTTTAAATCTTATTATATAATTATAAACAGAGTAATACAATTTTTAAATAATCTTCAAGGGAGAATTTGATTAACTTTGGATCTCAGCTTCACTGTTAGACAATAAACCCCCTAAATATTTCAAATAGTATTTTAAATTTTAATATGTGGGATTTTCTTTCTAAAAACTTCAAATGTCTAACAAAAAAAATTCCTTGATTATTATTCCTAATAAACCTAATCAATTAGATGTAAATACACTCTCTCAAGTTCTGTTAACAGTACAATTCTGTGTATAAATTTAGCAAAATTACCTTATTACATTTCAATTAAAAAAATACCAATTTCTAAAACTCATTACACAATTTAAATTGGAATCACAAGGCTAGTCAACTGAATTAACAAAATCAAATCTCTCCAACATTAACAGAAACTTTACATACTAACCTAATACTAGAGACTATTCTCAAATGCAATGTAAATTTTGATACAACATATATTTATACTAACACTAAACTGTTAAGGGTTAAGAGACACACTTACCCAATAAGAAGAGGTTTCCAGTCCTGCCTGCATATTAAAATCACCAAGGATTCTTTAAAGAAAAGGGGAAATAAAAGAAAGAAAAAGGCTTAACCCCGATTCAACCCAGAACTCAGAATCTCTGAAGATGATTTTTTTCCCCAAAGCTATGCAAATAATGGTAATTCACAGCCAGGACTGAGAATCTCTGCCTTAAAGAAATAATTCTACCATCATAACCATCTCAGTGAAAGTGGTAATAACCTGACAATCTTAATTTTGATGGTGTTTTGGGGCTGACCATGAATTTGAATGTCCTTCATGAAACATGCAAAAGGTGAGCGAGTCCCTTTAAATATTTTATTCTCTACAATGGAGTGGTCATGTAGGGGGGTTACATGTTAACCGAGTCTGCCATTAAGAGCGAGTCTCAACCCCTTTCGCCACCAGGGAGGCCCCTCACATAAGTAAATTTTATAAAATAAAATGGAATGAAAGTCCCATTTCATTGAATTTGTAGAGCCCACTAAATTTGGCCACACTTTTTTAAAAACAGCTGTTGACATGGAAAAAAGTTACTTTAATAAAGTCATATAAATGTTTCTTTCCAGTAACAGCACAAATGTACCTAGTGGATTATTATGTATGCTATAGATTAAGGATTTTTCTTTTTTTAATTTCACAGTTTAATTATGGACCAATTCTAAGATGCCTAAGACTTCACATTAGTTGTGACTGTGTGGACGTTATATTTAAAAACCCTTTAAAATCAGAGTTAAACAAGCACTGACAGTTATCAGGCATTTGGAGGTTAAAAAGCCAAAACAGATTGAAGTCACAATACTATTCACTACTTTGGAGATCCTACGATGAGAACTATTATTCAAAGTCAATAGCTGACTCCAGAAGATTGTGTTAATATTCAAACAATACTTGGCAGTTTATTTGACTACATTTTTTTATACTTTCACCCCATTCTTCAAAAAATCAACTGAAGAAAATAGTGTTTTGGGCCTCCCCGGTGGCGCAGCGGTTGAGTGCTGGGTTGCGAAGCAGCCTGCGGCCTCAGCGGCGCCGGTTCGATCCCCGGCTGCTCCCCGGCCACCAGAGGAGGGTCCCACATGGCGCGCAGACCTCTCCTGCCGCCCGCTGCTCCCCTCAGCAGTGTACTTCGGTCCTTCTGCCTGCTCTGCTCCCCGCTCTGGCTCTGGTGAATTCTCTCACCCTCCCGCGCTTCTGACTGTACCCAGTGCATGTATGAACAAAAAAACAAACAAACAAATAAATAAATAAAACATGCCTCTATAAAAAATTAAAAAAAAAATTAATTTATTAAAAAAAAAAAAAAAAAAGAAAATAGTGTTTTGATGGTACACTTCATTTTCGCACACCTCACTGCCCTTCACAAAACAAACAATGGTAAGGTCATATTTCAAAATCAAAGCCCTTACACATGAACAAATTATTTATGTATATATGTGTGCAAACAAATATGCACATGCCAATAACCAAATTTATTAAACAGCAAATATATATGAAAATATTTAGGGAAGTATTTACTAATTAAAGCTGCATTTTATAATTTTTACATATAATTCAATCAGCTAATAATTTTCTATGCCCCAGGAACTATAATAAACACAGTGGACTTGATTTCAATCCCTTAAAAAATGGAGATTCATGGGGGAGACACATAAGGAGATAATTTTAGGTATTGCAATATGATTACACAGCTACACCTAGAAAATTGCAAAGACAGGAGGAGTAAGCATCCGAAGGATGTCAGTGCAGCACATAAGCATCTACTCCAATATAAGGGGCATAGGGGAATAGAAATGGGAAAAATATTCTGGAGAATGGAGAGAAGGGTAAGTTAGGTAAAGAACAGGGAGTCATCCTGTACATAGGAAACAGAACAGAACAGCCCAAAGAGAGGTCAGCAAGCAAACCCGAACTTTTACAGGGCTCCAAATCACTGAAGTGTAAATGTGATAATGGAAAGGTAACGGGCTGTCCAGAAGGCTCAGGTCACCATGAGGTTTATATTTCATATCCAAGTACTTTCATTTCACCCTGAAGGTGGCAGTGAGTCATTGAAGGGTTTTAAAGAGGAAAATGGCATGGGTGAATAATTTGTCCAAGGAGACACTGTCATGTGATCAATAGCTAAAAGGCAGTCAGGGTACAGTGGAGGGAAAGGCTTGGAGGACTTTTCGACAAGATATAATGTGTCCATATAGGAAGGGATTAAGATGATTTTCATGATATTTGTTAAAGTAATTGGACACATGGTAGACTATGAACTGAGGTAACATCCACAGATGGTCTAAAGTGGGAGCTTGGGAAAGATAATGAGGTCACATCAAGTAAGAAAAAACAACCTTAAAACCCAAGTGGAAATGTAGTACAGGCATCTAAAAATATCACTCGAAGAGTTAAAGACTGATGAAAGATTTCAGTCCAAACGTATTTGGTAAGGTCACTACAGGGATCTGATTGTCCCATTTTTTTTTTTTAAATCTAGGCAGGTACATAGGTAAAAGTAAGCAAGGACTTAAACTTTTAAAGAAAGGAGTACTAACAGCAGATGCATGGACATTTAACAACAAAATCAAGTTAAATTCCAATGGGCCTTAAAACCTAATGACATCAGTCAGTAACTAAAAACACATCCTGGTTGGATTACTTGAGAAACATTTTGCCATGGCCCTGACACTGCATGTAAATGATTTCTAGAACATACGGGTGAAGTCTGATAAAAAAAAAAAAAAGTCTTTCTTTAACACATCCCTCCTTTTGTCCAAGAAAACAAAGGATCTAACATTTATTGTATTTGTACAGTATCATATATACAGGACAACCCCAAATTACTCAGTTGTCATTTATGTATAGACACACATTCTTAGACACACACTGCCCACATGAAATCCAAGTTATATGTTTTTTGCTTTCACATGTTCCCCTGAACCTCTATTTAATTATGTAAGAGAGGTATATATTCTTTTATTGTGTACACTTATTCTATGTATACCCTAAGGAGGTCTTTAATATAATATTATAATCAGAAAACATTAGAAAGAGCATTTAATGAAAATAAACCTAACAATTTTCTATTTTAAATAAATATGTGTTCTTTATAATAGCGCACTATAGTGCAGTAGTGAAAATATAATATGTATAATAGTGTAATATAACAAAATATTCTGTTATATTGTTTTACATTTCCAATGTGCACATACAGAGTTTAAGTTATTGTACCTTTAATTCAATAAACAAAATTAGGACCCTGCTTGGGTTTTATCTGAAATTATCTGAATTTAGAGATGAAGTAATGTAAATGTTATAGTGAAATTCTTTATAAAGTGAAAATAACACATACAGCACAGCACTAAAATGAAAAGTCACAATACTTTGTGTCATTTCCATTTTGTAAAGAATGTCATTATAAAATTGTAATAGAGCATGTAATAAAGTTTCTTAACACCAACAAAACTTACAGTTTCTTTAGAAAATTATTTTTCACTTTGCTACTATTAATAACAATGTTAGACTTCAAAACTTATCTTTACTCAGTTTATTAAAAACACTCTCTAAGAATAACTTAATGATGTGCAGATAAGAAGTATGGTTTTAATCCATAACTAGGTGTACCCAAGGTAGAAAGCCACTCAAATATTTCTTCCAATATCGTTATACAGTCAATAAACAGCATTTAGTACTTGACAGAATTTCATGTACATTTCTTTAGGTTTGGCAGAGATAATATGTGTAAAGGAAAGAGCATTACTGCATAAGACCTTAAATCCTTCCAAAGGATGTAGACTTACTGACTATAATTCCTTTTTGTTTATTAGAGTATGACTGAATGATGTGTCTGAAACTAGATATTTCATAAAAGCAGAAGTCAGCCTCTTCTTTCTCAGAACTTCCTTCCTCATAATTCAGTCTCCTTTACTATTCCAAGAAGTATTTTCATGTTATACTCCCTGCTGAGGAAGGATAAAAATTTCCCAAAAATATCATTCTCTAGTATTCTCCTTCATATTTCCTGCAAAAGCTTACCCCCCAATAGAAGAAATTATATTTTAACTGGTGATGTAGTAAAAACTCAGTTTCTGTTATTTGTGTTCTTTGATATTAATGGAGAAGTGATATCAATGCCAATTATCAAAATCAGGTTTAAAATATACATGTAAAGAAAAATATTCTAGGCAGTGAATTAAATAATTAAATTCACTACAATACTAATGGAGGTCCACTAAGAATTAAATATCAGTAGCCAATGTCTGCTTTTCCAGCTGAAACAAAGCACCCTTAGTAATACATAAGTGCTCCACTTTGCCTATCATTGGGAGACACAGCATTTGACTAACCAGAAAAGTGAAGTATCCAGCATTCTGTTCTCATACCCTATTTTCAGTTCTCCTTGAAATGGGTGGGGACTGCTAGTGCCATATGCATTCTGGGAAGAATAGAATCAACATGTAGAGTACTATGAGATGGTAGAGGGCAAAGATATAGTGAAATCTGAAAATCTTGATAGAAGTACATACTAAGATTTGTTGTATTTAACACAACCTATCAATTCAGTTTCAAAGAACCAGGAAGAGACTAAGAGAAGATTCCTCCTCAAACAAATAAAGCCACATGAGATAAATGTCTGATCAACAAATATTGAAGTAAGTGTAACTTGCCCTCCAGTTGTGTAACAGAGAATGAGATCTGACAGTTCATAAGTGGTCAGTGAGTGAGGCCAAACATAAGCAACACACCCAGTCTGTTGGCAAATACCAAGTCTGGATAGACTTTTCATTGTCCCAGAGTGAATAAACAGAAAAAATTCTTGGGAAAAACAAGAAAAATTAGACAACATTTGGAGAAGATGTAGAATGTGTGTACTTTTAAAAATTATTTCCTACAGGAGCCAAAAGAGTATTTAAGTAAACTGGATAATGTCTATAGGACACAAAAATACCTCTAAGGGTAAGGAAAAGAAATCTATCAAGAAATACAAAGCAGGAATTTTTTAAAAGTAAGCTAAACCAAATACAAAAGGATGACAAGTAAACTAAA